ATGCGATTCAATATCACGCCGTGTACGGTAGTTGAACCTGAGATAAACCTGTAATTTGAAGTCTTTTTTGAGGGGCAAATTAATCGTACGTTTTCTCCTGTCCTGGGTGGAGCGAGAGGAATCTTACCCATGGTAAAAATCTTCTTCATCTGTCCAGCTGGAAATTCTACTCTCACTATCGGCTCCATCTGTGGTTGTGTAATGACCTTTTGAGGCCCACGCGTAACATGACATGCCGTACGCTCGGGTCTGGTCCTGGTTAAGCACCAAACTATCCTTGCTTGCCATTCTCAGGCCCAACTTATAGTACGTAGACCCGGTATATACACATGTATATAAAAATACCTAACAGAAACCCAGACTTTTTAAAGTCGTCGTTTTTAAATAGTCCCCTCAAGTACTGTGTTTTGCGGGGGGAAAATCATCTAATGAGTTTAGCCCAGGGTGAGCGGGAGTGTCTCTTCCTGACTAAATTCCCCACTTCCTTCTCTTGCTCCAGGCCGAGGGCACGGTGCCATAAAGGGCGAGCGACGAGCTACCCGTGTTCGCCAACCGACCCACAGTTACGGTGGCCAGATATCGTCTGGGGCTCTAGAAAGATGGTTCCTTCACTCGCTCCTCTACCTTTATCACGAGCATCACCGGGTCATCAGAAGGATGAAACTTTCAAATTGCTCTTGTTCCGCACCATGGCCTCGAATAAGGCCGGAAGCGATACACTGCCCGCGCCGCCGCCGATCACTTTCCTGAGGATATGGTGGTGCTTAATCCAAGCAATGTACGCCATAATCTCTGAAATAAATATAAGCTCCTCGAATTCCAAGTAAACAGTAGAAATAATGAATCAATTAATACATCAGTAAGCGGATCATATTCCCCATTTATCTCAGCACGCCAAATAAAGGCCTGGCTCATATAAAAGCAAGCTTTTATGGCGACTTTTTATAGGTGTATCGTCATTCAAATGGATCAGCTATTACTTCCATTCAAATAACATTATTTGTCGATGAATGTAATAAAATGATGTCTCAAATTGTCTGAAAGACATTCGTAAAATTTTGTGTATTATTGATTTATTATTTTCATCAATAAGCCCGGCTAATTTCAACAAGATCAATGCCACCTAATTCAAGAATGGGTCTCGTGTGATGAAGTGAAGATTGTGACAAACCCCTTTTACTTGTGTAAAGGAGGACGATCGACAGTGGATTGTCATGGATATACTAACTGTCTGATGTGGATACCCAAAATCTTTCCAGTATAATTAATAGTTTATAAACTTACAACAATTTCCTACAGGTAGGTCTTATTCATAAACAGCGGGCGCGTCACCGACTTTTGAGTCAGGCACACCGAGACTTAACTATACACTGGAAAATTTTTCACCGAACAGAGTCTTTGAGCAGTCGCTTTTTAGTATATTTTTCGAAATCGTCGATTTGATACTTTTTATGTCGGAAAAACTAATATTTTATTTTTAATTATAGGCGGACACAAAACTGTTTACAGAATGACATCGTGAAATAAATCAAATTCTCTAAAAATACATCTCAACACGTTATAAAACGAGAAAATGAAAAAAAAAACATTCATTTATTTAACAAGCCGAGTTCGTACTTATGTACAATACAAATAAATGCCATTTTTGTTGCAGCATAACTTATGTCTTTTAATTTATTTATTATTCGTAACTTTTATATAGCGCATTCACAACAGTAACCATTGTTTACGATTCATGCACGTACGAATTTTGTGCCTTTACGTCCTTGTATATCACCCGAAGTACCGGGAGAAAACAGCATATTGAATTCAATAAACTGCCTTTTAAGGTGCATTTTCATTTCTACTTTGGGCACGGTCTCACATTTTAGTCTTAGTGATTTTTTTTAATATTATTTTTCTATTAAGTGTGGGAGACCCATGATTTGGCACGAATCAAGGGTCGGCTCGACCGAAGTGATACCACGGCCTCACAGAAAACCGACGTCAAACAACCACAGCGTTGTGTTTCGCCGTGTGAGTGAGGTTACCGGGCCTTTCCCCAGATCGTTTCCCAATCCCTAAATCTCCCAAATCCTTAATCGCCAAAAGGTCGGCAACGCACTTGTAAGTCGTCTGTTTTTGAGGATGGCCATAGGCAGCGCTGATTGCTTACCATCAGGTAATCTGTCTGCTCGTTTGCCGCCCTACCACATTAAAAAAACTATATTCTTAGGGTCGATAATGTCTAAAATGTCTAAAAATGTTTATAGAAAACAATACAATTTCAATTGATTTTCTGTGAATTTATTGCAGCATATTGTTGTTTAAGAAAGTCGACGATAAAAACGATTTACAGATAATGTTTCTAATCCTACATAGCGCAAGTGAAGTTTGCGTGCGACTTTACACAGATGGAAAATCCCGATATACAATTGTTGGACAGTAAGTAGCCCACCAGGCATGATCACCTCTCCTGTTCGGATTATCTTGCTTTCCCAAATTAGGGAACTTTGTGTTTCTAAAAATAAATCTTATGTATTATGTAATTAAAACTTACATAATGCATATATACACATAAAATAATGTACAAATTAGAAGTGGGCTTCATTGGTTACAAAAAAACTTAATAATCCTTTATCCGAAACGCGAATAAAACCCAAGACCCCTTATCTTGTCTAGCTCGACAGTTAACCCAGCCAATGTTATAATAAATTCCCACAAGTAATTAAAATAAAGTAATAGGTAGCACTTAACTAAACTATAAATTTAGCTATAATAACAAAACGAAAACGAAAGTAAAGATATAATATCACAAATTACAATAGCATATTAATCTTTCACACGCATAAATGGTAGCTTAGCTCTCAATAAAACATTAATTAAACAAAACATCAGTTTAATTCGGTTTCACGTCTAATATTAACCAAGCTGCGAAATTAATTAATGCAAGTTATGAACAGTTAATCCTTGCAAACAGGTGATATGGTTGTGAAATAATAATCATATATAAGCTTATGTGTTTATATATATATATATTGTTTGAGATTATTAATACAACTGAATGGAACATGTTCCAAGAAAATAAAACCTTATATAACTGGATTCTGATTTACTTCTTTGTCTATAACCACACAATCTATTATAACAGTTTACGGTCATTATGAGAGGAAAAACAATTGACATACCAATGACGTCATGCCCGGAACGACGAGGGGTGAACTTATTGTGTTCTCTTTCTAAACAAAATGATATTAAAGGAACATCGATGACGTCACACCCAAAATAACATAGACAAAACAATGTATATTATCTTCTTTTCACGCTCAAAATGCCAAATACAGAAACTAGGTGTGTTCTCTTTTTAAACCCCGACGCGAAAAGAGGGGTGTGTCTGTGGCATCCTGGAGCCTGAAAGGATGAAGCGATTTCAATTTTGTTTTTTTGTTTTTGTATTAAAGGTGACTTATGCGCAAGTGTTCTTAGACATGTTTGACGAAAATCGGTTGAGCCGTTTAGAAGTTATGGGGGGTAAGTGGGGAAGGGTTACCGAAGTTCTGCAAATATACTCGAATGGGGTCTCAAATGAAAGCGCACTGAAAGGGAATGTTGATGACTTTATCGAGAGAAAATGATATAAAATATCTATAAAAAGTATAAAATAAAAACATAAATTAGACGCCCGACAAAATAGAAATATGTAAGTGGTAGATAATAAAATATTTGGATCGGTCCCCCAACGCCACGCTTTTTTTTAATTATTACTTTTAAGGAATATTAGATTTTTGTCGGGGGTATTTTAAATTTATTAAAATAATTTTTACGCTTCCATTAAAATAATTTAATTAAAATAAAAAAAAATATTTAGTTACAAAAATAAAACGATTAAATTTCAATTAATTAATTTAAAAAAAAATTTTTTTTGTGTCACCTGTTGTTGTCCTTCGTTCATCTCTGATCGATCAATCGACGTCAATCAACGTTTCATAACATATTATTATAGTTAAGTGAAGTAGTTATTTCTAGGTTCTATCTATTCTATCAAAGAAATGGGAGCTTAAGGTTAAACGCCTTTTCCAATCGCCAGAAAATGCGTCGCGTATCATCGAGCGAAAGAAGAGAAAGTGAGAAATGTGTAGTAAAATATTGAACGATTGACGCATTTTCGTTCTTTTCGTGTTTTATAAAATTAATATAATAACGTAACGCTAATAAAGTATTAGATATGGTTTATACTTCATTAGAACATAACATTGAATGTTTTACAAGCATTAGCAAACTAAAAATTTAAAAAAAGAAATTTATTTTAATTAGTCTGACATGTTTTATTTCTAACTTTTAAGGATATTGTAATTTTTTTATTTTTATTAATTTTTATTATCTCTAGTTTTTGTTGTGTTTCCGAATTTAATTTAATTTTCTTTCAATTATATTTTAAAAACGATAATTTGAATTTTAGCTTGTAAGTACTTTGCTGTGCCCTGACAGGGTCTACAACGGCTCTTAGCTATAAGCTTTTATTGTTAACACCACACTACCTTGTAGAACGCAAATAAATGAATATGAATATGAATATAAAAAAAAAACAGAAGACGAAGCCGCATGGGGACTAAACCATTTATCTATTATTATGCACAATAAATAAAATCAACATATACGTATAGGCATACAAGTATCTATTCATACAGTTTTCATAGAATATAGATTTTTATGAAATATGCGATTTGAGAGCGTTGCAATGGTGAACGCTCTTCGTTTTTTTTTCGGTTAGATTTCGCAGAAGAACTGTGAATGATCCCGGATATTGCCATTGGATATTTCAGTGGAAACGCTAACCGAAGTATTAGGCTCCAGCCGTCGTCTTTATAACGAAGCTGCAGCGATATTGTCGTGCGTACGCATTGATACGGTCGCGAAGCGGTAAAAAAGGGGACGCTTATAAATAGGACCTCACTTACCTAGCTAGCTACCAAGCGTTATTTCATCTAGTTTTCTGTGATGCCGTAACTCCGCTGACTGGTTCATGCCGAAGCATGGCAATCCTGGGATGCCATGACTGCACGGTTGGCGCGATGACTGGGCAACTGGCTACCGCGCAACGTGACGCGCGCGGTTTCGATTCCTGCACGCAACAACTCTTTGAGTGATTCACAAATTTCCTGAAGAAAATCAATGTAATTGGAATTTAAAATACACTTTATACTGAAAACAAGTTTATTACCGTTTTTATAAATATAATCGACAATCTTTATCGTAGCTACCGATTGTTAGTATCGTTTGAACTTTAACAGTTTAATAACTTTAATAATTGTTTCAATTAATTTGATACTTGCTTTGCTAAATGGCAATTTTGCCTCGTTAAAACGTTTTACCCAATTGCTATTAGTTTCAAGTTGCAAAACTCTGATTAAAAATACTGTTTTTTTGAACTAATATTTTTTGTTGGATAGCATTTCGACATTTGAAATTTTGTATTTAATTCATCTGGATTCAATTTTCTAGATTGTTTTTTGTTTCGTGAGGGGAAAATCGTTAAATCAATTTTCTTGCCCAGGATGAGGCGAGAAAGAGAGAGAGTGTGTTAGACTAATACTGACTAAAAACCTCCTGTTCCTTCACCTGCCCCAAGCTGAGGCCGCGACACTTTTTTGCGCTTCCCCCTCAACTCCGGCGGAACATCAGCCCCTTTGGGCTCCGTATGTGGTGGTCTATTGGCTCATTGAGGCTTACGCGTTATGTTTGAGCGTGGTTTGATCTGGAGGCGAGCTCGCCGTCGATCTAAACTGACTTGAGAGTCTTGTTTGGTGTATGGATCTTGATCTGCATCACATGAACCTAATAATAACATTATCAGCTTAGTAAAAAATGTGTGATCCAATATTCTATTCGTCTTGTGTGTAAATGTATTTTTGACAAGAACTTCGTTTTGAGCAACAAAGTATGTGGGCCTATTGACACTAATCGGCTTGCGTTGACAGGTGTGTATATGACCAACGTCGGCTATGCTTCATTGGGTATCTCAGAGTCTGTTCGTATCATGTCAAATTTTATCACCTGTGCGGAAACTGTTATAAGGTTCAAATTTTTTACAGAATTGTGAAGTAAATCTTCAACAATTTTATTTTACTGTTCGGACAGGTTTTTAATCTTACACCACTACGGTTCTAGTGCATAGTCGCTACTTGAAAGGAGATTTTTTTTATAGAATATGACGTTACAAGACCCCTCTTTGTTTTTCTTGACTTGATTCTCTCGCCGCCCAGGTTGAGGCGAGAGACTCTTACTAACTAAAACCCCACCGTTCCTTCTCCTGCTTTACGCTTAGGCTGCGGTATCTTAATGCGCTTGCGCCGCAACCCCAGCTGGTGCAAGACCACCAATGATAAGCAATCGGCGCCGCCCATATATCCATATATCGAAGTTATGACTAACTTCAAAGTAGTTGTATATGCGTTGCCGGCTTTTGGGAGTTTGAGGATTGAAGGATAAGAGAATTAATAAAAATTTGGGATGAGGATTGGGCATATAGTATCGTTACTAATTCCACAACGCAATGCTATAATATTGTTTCCAGCCGTTTTTCTGTGAAGTCATAGTTTCACCCTAGTCGAGCAAGTGCTTATAGTTATACTACAATCTCTTACACTTATGTACTATATATAAAACAAATTTAGGTATGTATATGAAAAATGTAATAATAAGAAATATTTGTATCCTAAAATATCTTATTTATGTCATTTTATACATGAATTATAGTAAAGTAAAGGCTAAGGGTGCTTATATAATTGTGATCTTCGGATCCACCACATCACGTTTGTTTTCAGCTAAAATCTTTACTAGGGTACAATAAAATTGTAAGTGTAAGCCAACTGTAGTACTTATTGTAAACCTATATAGATTTTTTTTATTTAAAAATGTAATTTGTAAATTTAATAAATAAACAACTGCGTAACTCGTACTACTTTTTTTAATAACTGTCGAGTCACTCAGTCTAACATCTAGTAAAGTAGTCATTATAAATCTGATTAACCTTCATTTCATTTACAATTAAAACTTTTACAAGCTACCTAATTCTTAATACGAGTTGTTAAAAAAAACCTTCTCACAAAAAATGTTATTGTTTTTCCACAAAAATATAAGGCATTGGGTGTGGCAGCAACCTTTTTATCTTTCAGGAAGAGTATATTCTGTATCTTCAAGGAAAGTATCTTCTTAAAAGAGATAAAAACTTCTAAACAAAAAAGTTAAGTTTAGTGAAAGTTGGCTTCTGATGACTTTTAAGCCTGTGTTTTATGTTCTATGTAACTTCTTCTCGGATGTAAAATATTCGTTTTCTATCATATAACAGTACCGAATTACTAAGCTATGAACAATTTATTCATCAATATTAGATTAGTTGATTCAAAAAGTCAAGATCATCGGGTTATTAGTTTACTAACACTTATAAATGAATATACAAAAATAACTAAATACAATTTTGAAACTGTCTGACAGTTCCATATTTTTGTACTAGCCGATATTCTTACATTTTCACCTTACCGATTCTAAAATAAGATAGGTACTTATATGAATCGGCTTTGAATTTGGAACGACTGATTTGTGTGCCAGTGGACGATAAGTTCGACGGTTATCTTGATATGTATTCCAAGACCTTTACATAAGCTACGAGCTACGATATTGCTTGAAACTCACGTTTTTAATATAATGTTTCTGCTTTTAATATGGCGTTTATCCTTTAATACATTCGGTCTTATTAAGTTTATTCTTATTAATGGAATATTGTGATGCCCTTACGACCTATTGAAATGGAGATGCCGCCTTAGGCCGAAATCGCTTGACCAAATAAATATTTAATTATTTCATTTGACTATTTGTGAATAAATGTATAATGATGTGGGTTAAAGGCCCACGGTACAGATTAACTCATATCACACAAATCACTTAATCAGCCCATAAGTACCCACTGCTTAACAAAGCCCTCTTCTTACCCGCAGAAGGTTTAAGTAATTATCACCACGTCTGTTTAAAATTAGTGATCACAAGTTCACGTTTTTCACCGCATGTCTGTGGTATCCAAATGAACTTGAAAGTAAATATACGTACTACTCGTACAGCAGTAGTCACATTAATACTTGCCAGGTCAAGCCCGCCTCCTCAATCATGCGAAGGGGACGCCTTAACCTTCTTTAACCGACTTATGAACAGCCCAGAATAACTCAATGAGGGAAGAACTTACCTTATACTACTGTAAAGAAGGGTTTTCTCCAGGCTTTTTCTTGGAGGAGGAATATAAACAAATGAATTACTCCTGTGTGCGAGAAATAGTTTGTAGGCGAGCGGGAGTGTCAGACTGTCTGTCTGTCTGAGTGACAGTCTTTGTGACTAAAAATCACCCCGTTCTTTATTATTGAGATCAGGCTAAGGTACAGTGTCGAGTTCTTAATGCATGTTCTACGGCATCATCTACTGGCGCAATCTCCTAATGCCGTTTGTAATTTAAAAAGAGCGCTAAGGGCAATGCTTCGTAACAACATATGAGGCACAGATCATATATCTTAAGAGAGCCTTCCTTGATATTATTGTGGTACTACGGATAACTAACTTGCTAAGAATTTACATAAAAATTGTGCAGGTCCATCTGTCTCAGAAAAAAAAAACCTTTGTTAGAACTTGTAGGAAGGCGTTGTGTTTCGTCGCCGTGTGAGTGAGGTTACCGGAGGCCCAATCCCTCCAATTCCCCTATCCCTTCCCAATCCTTATATCTGAAACCCCTATCCCCAAAAGGCCGGCAACGTACTCGTAACTCCTTTAGTGTTGCGGGTGTCCATGGGCGGCGCCGATTGCTTACCATCAGGTAATCCGTCTGCCCGTTTGCCGACTTATAACATAAAGAAAAGAATGGCTTAATTATCATCATCATCATTATCAGCCGTAAGACGTCCACTGCTGAACAAAGCCTTAATCCTCCCCCTTAGTCCTCCACGACAAACGACAAGTTGCCACCTCCATGCATTGGCTCCCCGCGACTCTGACGATGTCGTCGGTCCACCTAGATGGCAATTTTTTTCAGGCCACGCTACTATATTAGAAAACTCTAAGATTTGGTAACTAGTAAGAAGTGGTTCCTCGCTTTTAAGTATTTACTAGAGTGGCGACTTATTTACTAATTACGAGGAAAGACTTAATTACTTACTAGGAAATATGATTCAACCAAATCTTAGAGTTTTTAATATAGTCCTTGATACCTATCTGTGTTCTTGTTTAATAGTAACGAATTTAACCGTGATCAAACGTAAATCTAGTGTAAATTTATCACCATCATCACTATCTAGTATAAAACAAAATCGCGTTCCATAGTATGTCCGTATGTGTGCTCAAGCGCTGATTTTTCAAATAGTCCGATAAATTTTATCAAAGGAATAAAATTGTTGCTGTCACTTTCTGATACAAACATTCTGACGCGATAGCATCATAATAAGTCATCAAGTCATCAATATAAGATATAACTTTTATCTAACCATTGAAAAATCAGCCCTAAATCTTTTAAACTACCTGACAGATTATGATGCGGTTTTTTTTTGTGGATAGAATGATTCAAGAGAAAGTTTTAAATGTTTTATTTATTACTGTCCGAGGATGAAGTCGCAGGCACGAAGCTAGTTTAGAAATAAACTGAAGTCTCATTTATTGAGGAAATGCTATTATAATGTAGGTTCATAGATAATGCATGCTCCTTAATCGTAATTAGATCGTATCCTGAATTTTATTTAGGTAATGTTTTTATATCCCATTCTTTTTTTCAATGGTTTCATTTCCAATGGGTAAGGTAAGTTTTATATATATTTTTCAATACATGTTAAGAAACTTCTTCAAATTATTAAGAAAAACAATTACTAAAATATAGCATAAAAGAAAAAAATATCACTAGTACGAGTGAGTTTAACAAAACTGATGTAATTTGTAAATCGGAGTCAAAATAAAATCGCTCCCTGAATCATCGTTTAGAATTCTTAATGAAGCACAACTCAATTAAAAACAGTTAATTCAATTCAGACTAACGGACTGCTCCGCTCAACAACTTGTTGGTATCACAGAATTGTTGTCGGGTTTTTCAAAACTCATACATAAATATATAGGTACGTCACGCCCGATTTCTGCTGGAGTAGGCACAAACATTTGAGGGTCAATGAGGGTGGTTTTAATTTGCTCTGGTTTAGAATATTGCCTATGTGGTTGATATGATGTTGATGTTGATGCCGTTGATGATATGAGGTTGACAGTTACGAAATGTAATTTGTGGAAAATCAGGAGTCTAAACTAAGGCTAGGCCTGTACTATTAGAGCTACTACATCTATACTAATATTATGAAGAGGTAAAATTTGTAAGTTTGTAAGTTTGTATGTAGGAATCTTTGGAACCGCTGGTCGGATTGCAAAAATTCTTTCACTGATAGGTAGCTACAATGTTCCTGAGTGCTATAGGCTATAAAACATCACGCTACGATCAAATGGAGCAGAGCAGCTGGTGAAACCGCGCGAGAGTAGTTAGTATTACATATAATAATAATTACATATAAGTTATATTAAAAATATAATAAGATTATCTTATTATTTTTATGTATACTATATATACGCAAACTTTAGTATACAGGTACCTACCAGAAACTTGCAATGCGTTATTTTCCGCAGTACAATACTTACTAGAACTTCGTACAACACGTAGGTACTTTCCAACTTCACCTTGCTACTGCATAATGCAGAGGAAATATGGTGCAAAAACCTGAAATTGATAACGCACGGAACGCAGAGATTTATTTTTTTGCAGAATCAATGTTCAATGCTTACGTACAAAATATACTATTTCCAACCGCGGCTCCGCCCGTATGTGATAAAACATATTGCGGTTGGGTTAATCCCTATCTTTTCTCTTGTCAGGCGAAAATCATCAAATGTCTTCCGCCGCCCAGGGTGACGCGAGTGGAAGTGTCCAACTCTTACTGACTAAAAACCCCCTCGTTCTTTCTGCTGCTTAAGGCCGAGGTTGCGATGCCTCATAGCGCTTACCCCGTGACCCTGGCTGTATGTTAGCCCTGTAGGACCCCGTGTGGTGGTCTTTTGACTATTTGAGGAGCACGCGAATCGCTTAGCACCGTACGCTTGGGTCTGGTTACATATAATTCAACCACATCTGTCCAGCCGTTTTTGCATGAAATAATAAGAAACTTACATCCATACATTCTCCCAAATTTTCACATTTTTTCTATTAAAATTGTAATGTTTGTCCCTACTCCTATGTAATAGTATAAAATATTTAATTAAGAAAATATAATAATAACGTTATTCTATCAGAGTGATGTATATTAGTTACTATATGACTGTGTAGATTTGCAAGGAATAAATAAATAAGTAGGATTGTCCTTTTTGTGTCATTATTCGATTTTCGAAATCCAGAATTACTAACGATTACTCTTACGATTTCAGACAATTCTAGATACTGCACATTCATACCTTACCAGTATTCACGAACAAAATAAAAAGGAAGAGGAGAAAATCACTGAGAGCCTTAAGTATTTAAAATTTTATTATCAACAGCAATATTGTTAATTATTATTTCTATCATTATATACAAATAGTTGACATATCGAATTAGCTTAAGTAATATTAAAATCAACACAATTAATTTATCAGTCCATTGAAAAAATGTATTTTCACATTTAAAAATTGGAAAACAGACAAAATCGCTTGTCATTTATGTTAAAGTTTATCTACAGTCACATAATCCAATCCGATTTAAAACGAAATAATTGATAAATAGAAATAAATATAAGGTCATGTTTCATTATTGCCGATTAAGTTTCTTTTAATTACCCGATACATACATGAAGAACACGCGTAAATATCTTTAAAATAAAATAGGCTAACTTAATTCATGCTGGCAAAACAAAGTCCTCAAGAAATACTGTTCATGTTAAACATGCTAATAAAAATTAAAAAGAAACAATTTATAGCACCTATAATTAACAAATAAGGATTACATCCATTGATTAAAAACTACTTCAATGCGTAAAACACAGTTAAAGATTGTACAGGATTTTATTAAAATTCCAACACTCAATAAACAAACGGAGATTTAATTCACATTTATTGTTAGAATAGAATAGAAAAGAAAAGAATATCGTTTATTTTACAGTACTTACATGGTGCACACAGATGTTATTAATACCCGTTCCACATATATACCATTATCGGTGTAGAAATATATATTAGTATGTCACAGTTTATGTTATAAGAGTACACTTTTATGTATTGTATGCACTTTATATTATTGTTTTTATTGGAAACAATATAAGTTTACAAACGTAAATAAATTAGTAATATCATTAAATTAAGTATCTCACAAAAAATTTAGTCAATAAATTTGTACCAATTAATTTTCAGAAATCAGGCATATTTTTTCATAGTTCGGCAAACGAGCAGACGGATTACCTGACCGTAAGCAATCAGTGCCGCCCATAGACACCCGTAACGAAGGAGTTACGTGTGCGTTGCCGACCTTTTAGGGATTAGGGATTTGGAGATTAAGGGATTAAGGAGGGATTGGGGGAGGGGAAGGATTGGGCCTCCGGTAACCTCACTCACACGACGAAACAACGCTGTAGTTGTTTCACTCCGGTTTTCTATGAGGCCATGGTATCACTCCGGTCGAGCCTACCCATTTGTGCCGAAGTATGGCTCTCCCACACTTGAGGTGAGAGATTTGTAAATGATTTTAGTTAAACATAAACTAGTCAATGTTAAAATCTCTATTAGGTACACTTTAAGTACATGGCAGTAATTGAAAAAGGTTTCACCAGCTTGTGACTAAGGGGCTTTGTGTATAGAAGAATAAAATTGGCACTCAACAATTATCTGTTCACATATCAGTATGTCAATTGAACTGTGCACAATTCGACGAAATCGAATTTCAATTTTCAATTGCCGAAACAAGCGATTCTTAAATATTGGACCGGGTTTTTTTTAGAAGTTTCAGTTTCCGCACGCAACTGAACGCTAATCGATGTATGGATTGAGTTTTTCGACTATAATAAACGTAGCTAACAGTTTGCCGTAAAATTGTAGAAAGTCATCAAAAAGTTGATTGATAATTATTGCAATTTCAGATGCTTCAAATGAACATGTAGTATATTATGACCAGTAATTAGCTGGACAGTCCAAAAAAAGTTTAATCTAATTAAATCTAATATTTATTGAATGCTGGAAGAAAACTTCTACGTGAAGTTAAGCCAGAAGTACTTAAAACATTCCTGTAAACATTGTGATTGTATTAGAAAAATTGTGAGCGCACTGAGGCAGCCCTAACAGGTGGTGTCAGTGATACTCCTGAGGACCGTGACGCAGGCTTCGGGGTACAAAAATTACAAGTTGTACTTCTGCTACCATTCGACACTGCTGTAGTCTTTGACGTCTGACATCTGCATACAAATATTCCACGACGATTCGCTGTCCCCGTTCCATTTGCACCCATCAGTTCTATAAACAAAAATAGTTCATTTAAGTCATACACATGTAATTTTTATCCAATTTTTGTCTTCTACGTACCGCTATAATGGTAAATAAGTACATTGCAACATTATACTACCGTTCAAAGTTAGAAAAAGTATTCCTGACATAATATATTCTATGAAAAGAAAAATAATTTAATTTTAATTTAAATGATTATGTGGTTCAGACACGTCTTCGGTCGGAAATATTGATTGATACAAGTATATGTAGGCAGCAGTAAAACAATTTTTTTTTCAATACGTTCAGTATTATAATTTTAAATTAGCAAAACTGGTTATAATGACTAAAGACTCTCCACGAATAGACTAATACCCTGTTCCTAGTGCTGTTCGATACAGGGGCCGTGGTACCTTATTGTGCTTGCACCCGCAACCCCAGCTGAACATAAGCCCTTTTGAGTTTCATCTGTAATACTCATCTTCTCTAAGAAACGCACGTGGAACGCTACGTGACGTACGCTCGAGTGTTCGCAGACCAGCGCTTGCAGTAGCCAGAAATCGTTACGCGATCCCCGATACCCGGAGTGAGTCCTACTGCGGCACGAGCACGACTGAGCTTGCCGCCACCGATCACTTCCCTAAGAACACGGCGGTACTTAGCCCAAGAAGGGCACACTGCCACCGTATGCTCTACTGTGTTCTGCAAGTGGTCCCCATTGTTACAAGATCCCAGGAGAACACCTCCTGCTGGATCCGGAACAAAGATAAGAGGGGCTGGTGTGTTTTCCTCATCAACGGGCGCGATGACACAACGAATTTTTTTATTTTGGTAAGTGTTAGCTCTTATTGTAATTTATTAGCTTATTTATGTATTTTGAACCGTATGTAACATACCCATGCCCCTTCGGCAACTTCATATTATACGAGATGTCAAAATACCAATAAGTAAAGCTTAAATAAATCACTTATTTGAGCTTCAAGTAAAGCGTGTTTCGTGATTCGGCATAAGCCACATTCCGCCCGCGCTACCCAACGCCTGGCTCTTTGATCGGGGCTTATGATTCCACAATAAATTCAGTTCAATGAAAAGAAACCATAATATTTTTGAAAAGAACGTTGAACAACGTAAATAGGTATTTTTCTTGATATTTTGTATGTGTTTTTAGTGGGAAAAATCATCAAATGATTTCTCTCGCCCATGGTGGAGTGAGAAAGAGTGTCTGACTAAAACCCACCCTGTTCGTTTTCCTGTTCCAGACCGAGGCTGCTGAGCATCTTTGCGCTTTCCCTGGAACCCCGGCTGAACATCAGCCCTGTTGTAGTGATCTAATGGTCCCTTGAGGAGCGCATGAAATGCTAACCGATCCGCCCGATCAGTACCAACTGACCGGGCGGCCAGCTACCATAGCACCGCAGACCCACCAAGCCTACGGTGGCCAAAGATCGTCACGAGATTCCTGACGCCCGGAGTGTCTACTACTGCTTCGCAGAAAGCTTCTCAGTCCTTTCGCTTCTCACCATAAACTCGACTAATGCCGGTCGCGAGGTATCGCCGCCGCCGATCACTTTCCTATGTTTTGTCTGTCACTTGACAAGATATTTTTATATGTGATGGGACGGCAAATGAGAAGATGCATTACCTGATGGTAAGCAATCACGGCCGATCTTGTGGGGATTGGAGAGAGTATGAGTTTATTATAATTGGTTCGTACATTAACACGTGTGGTTAACGTTATACGTCTCATTGCACAACGTATACAGACCAGTGGGTCAGCCAATTTCAATTGTCAATTTAATTCATTACATTTCCGACTTTATACTAAAACGATATAATTTAAATTTCATTAAAGACCATGGACATAAAGGACTTGCTGGTCATACTACCTACTTAATACTATATTACGACAAACCACACTCCCACTCAACACAATATAATTATATATATGTGTGTACATATCAGGAACAATAAATAAAATAATAACTTCACGATAAAATAAATTTATTGTCATTCCACGCCATTATCATCTCAAAGCGTTACATTTTATTAAAATATTAAATATTATTACCATTTAATATTTAATAAAGTTTCATTTTAAATATTTAATTTCAATTGGTGATACGATTTTATGACAATCACAGAATAACTTTATTTACACACTTATTTTTTCCATTATAGAGAATAATGAAAAAAATAAGTAAGTGTCCTCTTTTTGTTTCGTCCTAGTGGGGTCCCTTTTGCGTTCGTCTGTATTTATAAACGTGATAAAGTCGAAAACTATCGAATTATTTTTCTTAACAATAAGTTACGAAATACCTACGTTGCGCTGCACTAGGATTTTCTACCGTGTTCTGGTTGCGATTGTATGTACTGGTGGTGTATTATTAATTATATTCATATCCAAACGGTGTTTTAAATGAAATATAAAACATAAATTAAAAAGCCGGTTCCGATTATTAGAAAAAATACAGTTTAACATAATACGCGGTAAACAACAATACGAATCCAACTAAAACTAAAATTTAGTGCAAATTGCAACAAGAGTACTAACCCTTTCTCCTAGAATCCAAAAATATAAGTATAATAAATTGAAAATACAAATCAAATCTTTAAACAATAAACAAATTTCACAATAAAGAGAAATGACTTAGAAATTTTGTAAGTAATTAATTTCAACACCATCAAAGCTGTACCAAAGAGGAAAATGAGTCAAATAAAAATAAAATTCGAAGAATTACGAAGAAGGCGATCATATTCATTATTAGGTACACAACATTTTTGAGATTGTGTTTCATTAATATTAGAATTTTTGAGGACCCATCTAACTTTCCCTATAATAAATTAAAAAAAGACTTGTAATTTAATGAAAAATAAATATTAATTATAAATGTATGGAGTACCTTTCTGCGATAAAAGTTATTATGGTGTGGGTGATTTTAAGAACATACAAAATCATATTCGTTTCACACTCAAACCCAGTGCAACAATTCGAACGATCCTTTATTAACACGAAACTGCACAGCTGAAATATTAAGCATTCGCAGAAATTTATTTTTTATTTTGTAATGGTATGTACACTATGTGTATTGCAACAGTTGCTAGTTTTCAATTGGATAAAAAATCAAGAGTTCCGTCCACACTGGCGCCATTTTATAAGCAAAAAAGCGATGCTCCCATATTACCATTTCATCAGAATGAATATGCTTAATAATATTAACTGGTAGATAACTTAACAACCAAAATTGTTCTTATAAAGCTTGTAAGAAAAATTGAGTCATGAAGCTCTTGTATTTATTTTCCTGTAAATCCCTTAGAGCTGACAAATACGCGGTTTTCATCATTCTTTGCGCTTGCCATCCAGTAAATACTCTACACTTGACAAATGGAATACATTTTATGTATAAGCAAAATGGCTTAACCATACCTCCTGTATGTATACATTATACAATTAATCACCTAGAACGTTCCGCAAACCTCACTTTTTTCAAACGCACACGCTGTGCGGCCCTGGTATTACTCTGCACTATGGTCTGCACTGGTATCACTATGGAGCCATTCGTGCCAAAGCTATCACACTTGAATGATAGGCAATAAAATTAAATATTATTTAAATATGTATATAAGCACAGGTGAAAAAACAGCTAGTTTTCACCAGAATTATTTAGGCTGGGGTTGCGGTTGCAAGCACAATACCTTGGTATCACGGCTCCGATTTGGAACAGAAGATGGAACTTTAATCAGTAAGAGAATGATGAGTCGCCAAACAAGAAGTGGAGAAAACTATGGTAAGAGTTTCTTTGCTCAGCAAAATCAGAAATCTTATTCGCCGAAGAACGAGAGTTACAGATACAATCTGCAGACAAAGTATAAAGGTTTTGGCAGTCACTATCACGAGTTTCGAATAATACGGGGGAAACCCTCGGTGGCACTTACTGTTAAGCATTTTATATCCGCAGAACCTCGCTAAAAACGTGTAGGCCAATAAGCGTAATTAAAACAAAAATTATAAACTACCCATTACTATGTTCAACTTTATCCTCAAAAGCAATTTAACTTCAAAATACCTTGGGGATAGACGCGGCTAGTATAAATATTTCACGAGGCCTTTGATATAATATTGTAGGCCCACGACCCTTCAAATTGTTATAGTTTACTTCGTGATATTGATCTTTTAATTATAGGTCAAAGGGATTGTATTGAGCTTACTGTGTAGTTAACTACAATGCTTCAACTACTCGAGTTAATACAAGATTATCGTTAGACCCCGTTTAACCGAATATGACGTTTGAGTCGATTTTGGTATGGTAACTTGTCCTCTTTGTCTTTGGCCCATTTTCATATCCTGTTCTATAACTGTAACTGTTGTAATGCACTGGGCTGAATCATCAAATATTCTATATACTAGCTATCTATTCTATATACTAGTCTATCTATATACTAGCAGGACTATCTTCATGTTGGTTTTTACAGGATATCCCAAAATCTCATTTAGATGGCATCACTTCAATGTTTTAAGTAAAAATACTTATGAGACGATATAAGTATTAAGAAAAAGCTCCAAGTCGAGAATACTTTTTTTTGTAAGGGGAAAATCATCAAATGACTTCTCCTGCACAGGGTCGGGCGGGAGGGAGTGTCAGACTCTTACTGACTAAAAACTCCCCTGTTCCTTCTCCTGCTCTGGGCCGAGGTCGCGGTGCCTCATTGCGCTTACCCCGCAACCCCGGCTGAAAAGTCGAGAACACTTAAGATACTTACAAGCTTGATCCAGATCACAAATTATACGATTGTACTTTTATAGTTCCTAATTTGCTTACTAAGCTTTCTCCTCAATGGTTACAGGAGCGCGTCGTATTGTTAAGTTTCAGCTCTGATCAGCAGGTATTGTAGATGAATTTAACTAATACAATTTGCCGCTCGATAGACAAGACCGGGTGGAGCGGATTGTGGCTGTTGTTATTTTCAATAACAAGACATCTTTTGTATTTAAATTATGATTGTTAAAGGGTCACATTAATATATATTATGTATTAATATATATATATATATATATAATTAAAATATTACATAGTAGTATATATTTAATTTATTTAATTGTCATTATTTAAAAGTTGTGATGATTCGGGTGTGATGTTATTTTATATTAAAATAAACATTATACTGTTCACTAGTAATAATATTATTAGTTTAATCTAATTAATGCCAAGTCTGTTGCCATTGTTATCCTGTAATTATAAATACCGTACGACATATGTAGGTGTGGAAGATTTATAGTTCGGCATGAATGGCCGGCTCGACCGTAGCAATACCCAGACCTCACAGAAAACTGGGGAAAAATTTCTTTGTGTTTCTTCTCGCTCGAAAGGTCGAAATCTCACCTGTTGCTTACCATTAGAAGGGTTTTTTTACTTTTCTGTCTCCCATAAAAACATTATGCTTATACATATGTTTTATTCGTCCTAATAATGCATGAGTAACATTTTTGCTTACAAAAAAATGTTACATGTATTTCTAAACAAGTTGTACAGTTTACACATTAAATTATACGTAGGGCTTAACAGACATCGACAGCGGCTTTGTTTTATACATATGTATTATTAGGTACTATGTAGGAATGGTAAGTACTACAAAAAAGTACTCTTAATATTTAAATTACACTTTGTCTCTTTAATGAATGTAATAATTAAGATCCTTATACTGAATAAAATATACATCCCTTAACTAAACATGTAAATATAACGACTGAGATAAACCCATAAATTGGACAGTTTAGTTGGTGCGCTCCGTAGGGAAATATTCAAAGTAATTGCTAACAAATTTGAAACTAAATCAATGTAAGTTAAACTATTAATCAATGTACAAACGTCAGCAAGTCGACCTGCTCCTTTCTGGCGAAGTTGTAAATAGATTTTTAACTTTATTGATTTGATGAATTTAGTTAAAAATCCAATGAGTAACATTTTTCAAAATTGATAACTGGGGTAGATTGACCTACTGGCGTCTGTACCTAAGTGAAACGATTGCAAATTGATAAAATTTGTTCACAACAATATTACAATTCAGATGTATTCCCAGAGTCTCAACAATTACAATATAATTTATGTTTGAAATAAATTGTGAAAAACTTTTTAAAATATCATATTTTCGCATGCACAGAATACCTTTGTATTGTTTTATAGGTATATTTTATTAATATGAGCTATTGAAATTGAATTGATTTTGAATAACACATATATATAAAATAAACAAACATGTCGTGGATACGAATCCATACGAAGAAATCTGTGTGTTCCATAAAATTTTTGTTCCGTGTCTGGGTATGTATGAATCATTCTATATTTGAAAACGCGCCCACGGCACAGGAAAACATTCCAATACAGGGTGTAATTAAAAAAAACATACGTTTGCCATTGATTAAAGTTTTTCAAATAAATTGCGTCAACTTCTAGTGTGTCGCTGCTGACAGAAAAGTATAAAATAACTCTTATTTTCTTATAAGAAAAATTAAAAGACAACTTATCTTATTTTTAGATAAGAACGAATTTGGCGTGATCACATGTCAAGGAAGAAGAAAACAAGCAATTTTATCAAGTGGATATCGAGTAAATATTAGGGTCTCTTACCTGACATAGGTATGCCTTCGCAAACACTTGACCTTTGGCACGGTCTGGTTGAGTCCTTCTTCTTCAAACATAGCAACGTACTGAGTATCTGTTGGAAAAAGTAAAAAAAAATATATTAACTTGGAACATGTCAAATTCAAAGTCAAAGTCAAAATTATTTATTCCAATTAAATTACAGGCACTTTTGAACGTCAAAACAAAGAGTCAGTCTGTCGGTCAGTCCTCTTAGTGAAGCTATTTGCTCGTTCCAAAGTGTAGATTCCAATGGAGAAGAACGAACAAAAAACTTCATGGTTACTCTTTTTTAATCAGTTTCACGTAAATTATTAAATTGGTTCGAATATGTGAGAACAGAGTAACACTAACTTGAGTAAAACATTACAGTGCTATTATATAGGTAATATATATAAGTATTTCCTCGTAGACTTTGTAAGCACTGAGTTAGGCTATACCCTTAACAAACAACAGACAGCTGCGCTCTCTAATAAGCCTGAACGTTGTTAACTGCGAGCTCCGATCCGAATAATTAGTGTTACGATCCCAACACTAATTTTTATTTAAATTTAATTGCGCTTAGTAACTAGTAAAAAACTAGTTACACGTAGCTCCTTCAACGAACAGTGGTCATTGAACAAAGGGATCGATCTATACTAATTTTATATCTTATCTTTGGAATGGTTGGTTAGATTTCCAAAATTTTTTCACTAGATAGAGCTACAATTTTCCTGAGTGCTATAAAACACACACGCAACAATCAAATTTAGCCGGGGTTGCGGGGTAGGCGCAATGAGGCACCGCGACCTCGGCCTAGAGCAGGAGAAGGAACAGGGGGGTTTTTAGTCAGTAAGAGTCTGACACACCCTCCCGCCCCACCCTGGGCGGGAGAAGTCATAAAAAAAACGATCAAATGGAACCAAATAGCGGGTGAAGCTAGTAAAATATATATAACACGTTAAACATTAGAATAAATAACTAACAGTGTTTTGAACTAGTTCTTATTAAAGATTTATTGACCTTGAGAAGCAGTGTATTTGGCTCGATACCCCATCTCCAAACGATCCCCATTTCCTGTCAAGCGGGGAGATTACGGAAATCTACTCTTTTAAGGCCTATCTTAGATCTTATAAACAGTTAACTGACTATAGGATCCAAGTTCTTCTTTGAATTCCAATCGACTGAAGGTTAATTTGTCTGGACACGATTAATATAACTATCCAAAATGAATTAAGCTTTTCCGTTCCACTGTGGAATGCGCTTTCGACTGATATCGAGCCGTTTGTCTTTTACAAAAGGATCGTGGTAGTGTCGAAAGCATTGGCTGAACCAGTAAGATAAAGATACTTTAGTGTCAGTATTTTACTGACTAAAAATATGTGCGAGAGAAGCCACATGTCGATAATCACCCTTCAAAAAAAACATATAATAAGTTGTTTGTTATAGTATATATTTTATTATAAGTATTTATATTTTTATTACTATTTACATTATGGTATGTATGTATAGAACGTATCAACGCACTTACGTAACTTAGTATGTACATATATGTATATTGTATACTGATTATTTATGTTTTTCAATAAACTTATGTTCATTTGTTTGCTATTTGCATCAACTATTCGTTATTTGCAACATTGCTGCCTCTTACGACACCCGAAGCTCGCATAAAAAATACAAGGATAGCAATGGGTATGGTAGTATATATTAATAAAGGCATTTTTATTATTAGGTACCTACATTACATTTTAGACTCAAATTACTAAGTAATTAAATTTCAATTAATCTAAGTCTAAGTATCAAATGTTTTGGTCTAATTTATCATGTTCACAACAAGACGTACCTTAACCTTGTAACACTTGCGTAATGAGTAAAAATACCGTTCCCCATAATGGAGGAGACATCTGAAATTCAAATATAATTGGTACGAAAGACCTTGTTACCTATTTGTTATGAATTTCAAAATAAAACACGGTATGTATTCGAGTTAAGTGATGGAGAAATGTTCCTTACTGCATAAAATGACTCTGATTACAAAAAAATAACAATATTTATAGACTTTATAAGTGCGTAAAATAAAAATCTTTTGTTGGACATTCGGGTCAGGTTGGCCGGGAATGGCAAGGCGCGAGTGTCAGGAGATGCTTATGTCTAGGATTTATAAAAGTACTAACCTAGGCTTAAAGGTCTAACATAGCCGGGGTATAATTGGTTCTTTATATTTTTTTCTAAAATGTTTCTTCAGGTGATTAAAATACCCACTGCTCACTAGTAAGACAATACGGTAGTTGAAAACTAAAAATTGGTGCTTTTATTAATGTGTAAAAGACGATAATTTTCTAAGCATTCCGTTTGAGATATTTAGATATAGAGATATCGTGAACGTCATCATGATTTTGCAAAAATAACAAAACTATTTCTTAAAAAAATCCAAAATGGTATGGTTGACTTTTAAATATTTTGTTGTTTTAGGAAGTCAAAATAATTTAGTTTTTAACTGAGAAAACTACCCGGTTCATACAACTGCTTTTAGCATAAGTAACAAGCTACTAATCTACATTGATTAAACATATACTTTGCCAAAAATAAATGTTATTAATGGTGTTATTGGATTTAAACGTTTAAGTAAATATAACACTAAAATGAATTACTGAAAATTAAAAATATGGCATAATAACGTGACCCTCGAGAAAAGTCGCCACGCCACACGGATCCTCTTGAATAAGAGTCCTGGTGACACTTGAAAGTAGTAGAGCTTTTCTCGAATAATTCACATGAATAAGCAGTCTTTTAAATTTATTTTGTATATTGATAATTAATTCATAATTATTATGAAAAATATATATCAAATAAATTAATATAAATACCTCTTGGAATCCTTGCCGGTACCGAATGTTCATGTAGCAGTAGATCATAGGGTTGTAGCAGGAGTGTGACATTGCCAGCCAGTGGCATGCGAACCACACGTACGGCATCCCTGGCCACAAAGCCCACTCGTCATCATTCTCATGCACCGTCCATAATACCTAGTAAAAAAACTTTATTTATATACAAAAATAAATACCAATAAAAATAATACAACATAACATATTGTGTGTCATTTTATTTTTTCTTTTCTTTTACTTATGTGCCTATATAAAGTATGTTACCTAAGAATTGATTAGTATACTTGGATTTGTTTAAATAAATAAACTAGATACGACTAGTTTTGAAACGACACTTGCATTCTGTTTTGCCAGATTCGTAAGGTTAACCTAAATCTTCAATATCCGATTCCCCCAGTCTTCAAACCCCAGGTTATCTCTTTGCTCATTTGCCGCTCTATCCCGTTTAGGGCTGATTTTTCAATAGATAAATGTTATATGAGGAATAAAATTGTCGCTGTTACTGTCTTATATAAACATTCAGACGCGACAGCATTATAATTATTCCCCAGGGACCTTTAATCTAGCCATTAAAAAATCAGCTCTTACTAAAAATACCAAACAATGAGGTGAATTTTACACGTAACCTACCAAGTTTTATGTAGAAGAAAATCGTATCATTACGACTTATTGAACAATGCATTTTATTTCGTATTCAAGTACAATAAAAAAGATGGATTCAACAGAGGTGTTAAACAATACACTAATCCCTCAGCCGGTCAATCATTAAAAAAAATTATGGCTTCATTAGTATTTAGAGCAACAAAAACTACTTTCATTAAACTGAATCAATCACAATTCTTACCTGCACGTTAAACAGACTTTACTTATAAGTAACAATTGTGAACTGACTACGCACTACGTAATGTCAGTGCTACGAAACCACCAGTACACGCTACAGCAACTACGAGCGCTGTAGCAATTATTAAAAGTGTTACGCATTTCGTAGCGATATCACTTAAAGTCTGTTTTAACAATTTCTGAACAGACAAAGTTCTGTTAGCTTGCCTGTTACACTTTTTGTATGCGAAATATTTACATACAGTTAACTAACCGTCTTTTACTATAACAGAAACTTATTCAGAAAAATTGTGTTCCACTTTTATTTCTGTATTGTATTCGTGGGGCTTACAATAACAATCCTGCTGCTATAACATTAACTTTTGTAGTTCTTGTGAAGAGTAAAAAAGGATCTCACTAAGCTTTCGAGTCTTAGTGTAATAACGAGACTATATTTGTATCTATATAAAACATGAATATGTATATAACATAACAGTACTTGAATTAGAGCAGTAACAAAATAACTTTGAGCAATGTTTTAAAAAATATATAATTAAAAATATATAAATACTTTGTTCCCGATAATCCTATAGACAATCATAATTTTGTGGATTTCAAAAGAACATTAAATAGACACAAAAAACTTACAAGTACAGTCCATTAAATAAATCTAAATGTTACTAAAACAAAAAGAGTAGTTTTCGCTATGTGCAAAGCGAATTATTATCCCGAAATGCCAACTGGTATATTCACAGAGATGTCGCTTGAAACCGCATTGCTGTATGCAATAATTCTCCCAATCCACGCATGAAACAAATATTTGTTGCCAGGCACAAATCACACATAGACTAGAATAGTGTTGCTAGCTCAAATAAGTCCAAAGCAAACACAAATCCGCAACATTTGGACGTACTTTTCTGATATGGGATACGCAATACTTGAGTTTTATTACAGATTTATTACACTATTTATTCTTGACTATTACAAATATAATTTACATGCAATATATATTTACATAATTCGAGACTGGTTTTTAGTATAGGTTTCACCCTACTAAGAAACAAACAGCCTTTGTTACCATCTTTAAAAACATAAAATGATTCGTTGCCAACAAAAACGAAGGAAGCAATTTTTCGCATTTATAATATTACTACGGATGTTTGGTTTTTTATACCATCCGCCACTATCTTGACTTGTGCTAAGCGTTGATACAGCCTAAGATGGAGCACGCCTACCCATAAGCAACCTATTTACTAGTGCCTTCAAGTAACAATTACTAGCAAAGGATTCCACTCCTTAGAGGTTCTTATGAAAAAACTTGGGACAAAATGCTTCAGACGAGAGGGTGGAATATCAACCATGAAGCGGTGACGTTTTACTTATCGTCTGGTTGTAATGTGATGGTACCTATATCTTACCAGAAGTGAGAAATATACTTTTTATATGGCACAACTCTTACATCGAGTCGTCAGAACATTCCGGGCCTGAGAGTGATGTGTCATTTCCGTTCGTACGAAAGTAGCAACGAAAGTGGCTCGCAATGCGAAATGGGACATTATTTGTCCTTTTTTTTTATTCTTATAAAACTCGTTTTAACCCTGGTGGAAGTGGAAAACACGCTGAATATGACATTTAGTTTTCGCTCATTATTGCCAATTACGAATTCTAAAAAAAAAAAAAGAAATGTGTAACACTTTGCTTGAACAACGAATCTCACTAAGGAGGCACTAACTTTTCGAAGTCTTTTTAAAAGTTGGTTAACTTTGAACAAATCTAAAAAAGAAGCACAATTAACGCCTGTTTTATTTAGAACTGTATTGAACTAATTTCAACAGTTAATGTTTTATTATACATCCAGTTCAAGAGGCACTTTCGCAAAATAATAAACTGCGTAAACAATATATTTCATCGAAATATTTTTTTTACATGTTGGATGTTCGTAAATGGTATATAAATGTGCCTAGTACTTTGTTAAACAAACTTGGTTACTATCCATTGTTTGTTGGTTACAGTGTAAGTAATTAATATGCTAATATATGTAAATATCACCCTGCATGAAGTCTAATGCTAGACAATGACCTCGTCTCAGTCAAAGAATGAAGGTTGATCACAATCCTTGTTCATTGCGGATAAGAGATGATTTGCAATTTATTTTAAGTTAATATTTCATCACTATATTTTTCAAAGCTTTTGTCAATTGTATCTTTTTTGAGGAAGAAAAATTTTATACTAATTTTTTTTTGCCCTGTGTGGGGTGAGAGGTAGTCTCTGGCTCCTTACTGGCTAAAGACCAACCCACATTAGACTTCGCCTTCTTCTATCCCCAAACCCTAAAACTGTAACCTCAAAATTCCACACAACCCCCAAAAAGCCAGCAATGCACTTGTAACCCTTCTAGTGTTACTAATCCGGGTAATCCGGTTCCTGGCGTAACCCACTAAAATACTCTATAATTTTTTTCACAAAATGCATGGTTCTTATTACAAGGGTGGATGATTTTACATCTCAATATGTTCCCTGTCTTGGGTGAACAAGACGTGATATTACTTTTTTTCTGAAAAATCCAACATTCGTAATTTGAACCTTAATACTTTAAAAACAAATCGTATATTCTTTGTGTAATTTGAACTTTATAGGAATGCTTTTAAGGGGATAAACAATTGAGTTTATACAGGGTGTAAGGGACAGCCCTCCACAAATTAACAGGGTGCATTCAGCTCCTTATTCTGAATCATATTCCAGTGAAAATTCTTTCAGGAAAATTTTCAATTATTTTTTCGTTTTTTCAGTTCCTACACCTCTATTTCAATGTATAATTACATTCTACGTATGAAGAATAACATTAATGTAAATAACACAGCTAAAACAAAAAAATACGCAATGGTTGTGTGAATTCTCTAAAGAACTACGCATGAAATCAGCTGTTCAATTTCTACCTAGCGCGAGTCGTTTGAACTCACCGCACCGCGGTCACGGCGCAGCGACTCGGCGCCCCACCGCGCCGATCGCCGCGCCGCGCGCCGTAGGTATAATACCTACGATCCCGTCCAACGTACAGAATAGCTGCGTCCCTTACTATCGCCCCGCCTCCGCGTCTCCCCGTCTCCCCGATTCTTTGCACAATGTTTGCCCGATTGAACCAGTGTTGCCAATTTTTAACTTTTGTTACCTCAAGTAGTAAACGAAAATGTTAGAACTAGCGAAATTTATCTAAAACTTGAGAACTCCTTTGCATTCATAATTACGTTGATGAGATTTTCATTAATCAATTAATGAAAATCTTGTCGCGCACATAAATTGAATAAGAAATAAATAAAGATTAGTCTAGTTTTAATTTTAAAGCATTTACAAATACTACCTAATTTATTAATTGATTGTTCTTTTTAAGCGATTACTGGCTAGTTTTTAAACTACTTACAGATTTTTACATGGCTTCACAATAGCCATGAATTGATAGTCGAACCAGAAATTAAACACAATCTCCCTGGAATGGAAGCACACATTTCTATCACACTGCACTTTTATTATTCTAAATTAACTAAACAATGAAATTAGAATTAAATTGATTTAATCAATTCATTTCTCTACAAAAAATAACAGAATGATAAATTACGACCATGCATAATTTTTTTATTTTTTACCCCGAAATTTTGTAATTTTCGTGTAATTGGCAACAACAGATTTATGTTTGTGTGTGTCTCATCACATGCAGTCGCCATTGTGCCTTGCTGCGATGTTATTGTTTGTGTACCGCGAGCGTGTGTCGGCACGGATCGCTCGCGCATTCGGCTTAAAAGTTTTGTTTTAAGTAGTGTTGTTAAGTTTTATTAGATGTAGTGTGTGAAGTGTAGTGAAGTTTTGTTGTAGAAATTGTGCGAAATTACTACCTAGGTACGTTTAGCGCGCGTGATTATGGGGAGATGATAATGTGTTGTAGTAGTGTAGGTATCCTGACCGTCGCCATCCATCAGACTCCAGGATAATTACTGGTGACTATCAACGCTTGCTAGAAAACCAGCCCATTGTTCCCAGACAAAAAGGCGCCGGAAGACCAATACCTACGTGGATTTTGGAATTGGTTCGCTAACGTAAGGAGACGCTACCACTTACCAGTGCTTTCCTATTTAAACGTAGTTTAGGTAGGTTTGGACCGCAACCGTGGCCAGCACGATCCCCAGACCTAACCCATTTGGACCCCTTTTTGTGGGGTTACGTAAAAGAAAAAGTGTTTGTGAGTGCGTGTGCAAGTGAGTACGAAATGCGAGACCGCATCACAAATGCTTTCCAGAGCCGGAAACCGGAGCGATTGTAAGGTACCTACGCATTTTTCTTTTTTTATCATTTATCAGTTACCATGTTATGATTGTTAGATTTTTTTTTGTAAGTAATGCAGCTATCTTTTAAATAATAATTTATTGTTATTAAAACGTGGCGCGAGCGCGATCGTTACATTGTCTTTTGTAAGTAATGCGGCTATCTTTTAAATAATAATTTATTGTTATTAAAACGTGGCGCGAGCGCGACCGTTTGTCTGAACGTAAGGTCGCGGCGCTGCCCATAGTGTAAAGTAATAATACTAAAAGCGCTGCCGTTCGCTGCGTGCGTTTGCGGTGGTAGCGATACATTGCGTGTAAGGTAATGAAACAAATCGGTTTAATTAGATTCCCATAACGTTCCTGAAATAATTTCATGTACCGGTCAACTTAAGACGATATACTGAATCCACCCTATCAGTTTGCGGAAGGCTGTCCCTTACACCCTGTATATATATCTATAGACATACCTATGTATTAATAAGTATGTGTATTATGAAAATTTGAGCATCGGCACGTGTATTGATTTGGTGCTAACAGATTCATCTGCCAACTCGAAATAAATTTACAGCTGATCCATACAATATAGGTAGGTAAATAGAAACGCTCTTGAATATTTCTCGATACAAAAAAGCGTCGAATTTGAAATAACACGTATTATCAGTCAAAATATATGATATAGATAGATATAGATACCATCCAAGTAATATAGAAATTTCCTTACGATATTTTGTCTAGTACTTAGTCTAGTTTTAAGTATGTTATCGTATCTATTTGTAGCTGCATCCGTTTACCGAATAAACTTTCACTTTCAACATCTTTTGTTCAATATGTCTTTATGGATAAATGAATTTTAACCTGTGGCCCTAACCGAGCCATTTAATGGGCGGCCCAGTGCGGAACAAAAGATAGAACGGCGAGATTTTTAATCAGTCAGAGTATGCTAAATTCTCTCATATATAGTCCTTTAAATCACCCAAGACGGAAGAATTTAAAGGACTATTTATCTCCATTCTCCACTCCAAATAAACAAATAGTTTAAGAAATCATCAAATGCTTTTGGAACGGCTGTAAGATTCTTCCCTACAGTCATGAATGTTTAATACAGCTAGCACAAATAAAACAGATTTCTAAATATTCTTAGGCCTCGTTTACTACACATTTTTAGGCGTGTCGTGCGGTTCGGTATACGTAGATCGCTCATATCGCTGACTGAATACATTTGTGGCACAAGTCAAAATTGTACCAATTTGTGTTAGCAATTAATTCTTTTTCTAAATCAGGTACTTCATTTTATTTTATGCATTAAAGACCCAACTCATTAGTTTATAAAATACCCGTTTATACTATTATTACTTATTATATTATTATACAAACTCTTCCAAACTAATATTATAAATGCGAAAGTAACTATGCCTTTCTATCTGTCTTTTCTTCACGCCTAAACTACTGAACCGATTGCTGTTTAATTTGGTACGGACATAGTTTGGAACTCGAAAAAGGATATAGGATAGTTTTTATACCAAAAATCGGCAGAAAGTCACTATTCCACGCGAACGGAGTCGCAGGCAAATGATAGTACTGTGTGTTACAAGAATTCATCACTAACTCAAATTCACAAAGACTTGTATCACTAATATTTTAAGTCAGAGATATGTATGCGATCGGTTGTGGCAATGTACGACAAATGTAGGATGCAACGTCTCGTATTTGCATACACGAGGACTTAATTACTTACTATGAAAATGTTGAGCGGCAACCAGCTCATCACGAAGACTGTGACGACAGTCAACATCATTTTCACCATCTGCAAACAAGAGACAATCAATATAGTAATAACACAAAGAAGTAAGCTAAATTAGACCTAATAAATAAGTAAGAACGTTTATTTTACGTTAAAAACATTTTAGAGCTTATGACTATGAATTTTGACTTCAATTTAATATTTGTATAATAGTTATTTTATAATCTGAACATTCTAATAAATATCGCAACCGAGTGACGCGCACGCCATATATAAATAAAAGTCCCGCTGTAGTTTGAAACTAGATGAGCTTTTTTAATTAATTGATTCTTCCTTACAAAAAGAAGTCTAAATGGGGATCTTAGTGCCTTAAGGCATTCTCTAACAGTCTACCTTGTGGTAGTGCAGAGAAATCATGCGTTTGGTGCAAAGCAAGGACACAGTATCCTAAAACAAATATGGGAGGGGAAAAGAAAATTGAAAAAAAAAACGATTCTTTACCGCTGAGTTAAACAATATTTTTACCCGACTGCCAAAGAAGGAGGGTAATGTTTTTCGAGTGTATGTAAGTATGTATGTATGTCTTTTCCTTTGTGACCTCCTGTAGCCTAAACGGCTTGATGGATTTTGATGTATGAGGTATCGTTAGATTTGTCTTGATTACGGGAGTGTCATAGGATACATTTTATCCTAAAAGTCCCACGGGATAAAGACATAATAATATTTTTTCTAAATTTCCCTTTAAAAAAACAGCTAAAAAGTTATAAATAAAGAAATTATTATTAAAAAAACAAAATACCCGACTGCACACTAAAAAAAGAGTAAAACAAGCCCCACAATACAAATTTACTGAATATAATTTATAAATGTTGATGGAAAGCATCGCAGGCGGGGACCACCTTGACCGCCACCAACGAAAATTCTGCTAAATGGTGCACAACAGAAATGACTATAAATAAGCCTCTGTTGGTCCCCGCCTGCGATGCTTTCCATCAACATTTATAAATTATATTCAGTAAATTTGTATTGTGGGGCTTGTTTTACTCTTTTTTTAGTGTGCAGTCGGGTATTTTGTTTTTTTAATAATAATTTCTTTATTAATATACATGACTTGTTGTTATTAACTACATACTTACACATAAAAATAAAAAAAGCCTTATTCATGTCCTCAACAATGAAGGAATTTATAACTTAATAATAACAAGAAAATACCTTAGAATACCAATTACTTAATAGACGACGTAAAAGCTATAAACAGTTTTATGTAAGATAACTGCTACTAGGAGCTATTTTCGTTCAAAACTCGAATCTTAAAACGATTATATAAGGATTTAAATATAGAAAAAACGTGCCTAACAGCTAAATCGAGGAATTTCAATTCTCAAAATGTCTGTTTACAATGATTGGACTGAGATTTTGATGACTCAGCAACTACGCGATCGTTTCTAAAAATATCACCGCGTTTTATTTTTAACGATTATGTTCATTAACTATAGTCCATAGAGTTCATATTTCCCTTCATATATGTATGTATGTACTTGCCTTCATAATATAGATATGTTTTTTTATGTGACAGGACAGCAAACGAGCAGACGGATTACCTGATGGTAAGCAATCAGCACCGCCCATGGACACCCGCAACAACAGAGGAGTTACGAGTGCGTTGCCGACCTTTTGGAGATTAGGGATTTTGAGATTTTGAGATTGGAGTAGAGGAAGCCTTGGGCCTCCGGTAACCTCACACACACACGGCGAAACACAAAGCTGTAAATGTTTCACGCGTGTGTGTGTATATTTTAATAGTTAAGACTCTTTCTTTTTATAAGATCATCTCAGATCTTGTATGACGGACGCGACACTACAAGCCAAAGACGTTCGAATACAGTTCTGGCTCAGATTTGAAGACCAGACCAGATTCAAAACAAACCTCCGATCTAAAGTGACAGTACCGTGACGGTTTAGTTCAATCATCAATTTATGCTTTGAGCGGTTTCTATCGACAAATAACCCTTCTTCTATTTGATGATCTCCGTTAAATAAGACCGAATCATCCATATCATCAGCATATGAGTACACACTGCTGAGTAAAGCCCTCTTCTCAAACAGTGAAGGTTTTAACAAGAATCACCAACCATCATCAAGGCGAGTTAGCGATTTCAAACTTATAATTAGAAATTATATGTCCACGTTTCATCACAATAATATAGGCCTTCATCGTATGTCAATGGTGTTTTAACAATCATAGAAAGTACCTACCTACATTATAACATAACTCGGAAAAAGTCCGACAGTTGTACTTGCCGAGTGGAAGCCACAAGTAGGTAACTATACATACTCGTGGCTTCCATTCATGAAATGTATGTATGTTACTGAATTAAGCTGAATGTTTGAATACATATTTAGTTTACATAACCTATAATGTTTATTTTAAGAACTTTGCTCTAGATCCATTAAATTGCTTGTTCCCAGGACTTATTGACCCACTTGAAAAAAGCTTGTTTTTTAAAAAGTTTTTCTTTATTTTAACTTGTTTTCAGGTCAAGTAATTAAGTTTTGTTGTATAAGTTTTCGTACTGTTCCATAGCAGTATGTATAGTATTGTACTTTTTTTTTCAAAAATGCTTTGCTTCCCACTTGAATTTTCTCCTGTGTCGTGGGTGCGTTTTAAAATATATATTATCAAATGTGTGGATCACACAAAGAGTTGTTCCGTGCGGGGATGGAATCCGCGACATGTTGTGCGGCAGCCATTTGCTACGAGTCAGTACATTCATGTACTTGTTTTTTTGTATACTTATATTGTTATTTGAAACTGAAATTGTATTTATATCTAGATATTTATACATTTAGATAGATATCTACATCTGTCTGACTCTATCCGTACTTTCATCAGAGTTAAGTCAAAATTAAAATATAACGGAGGCCAATCCTTCCCCTTCCCGGACCCTTCCCCAATCCCTAAATCTCCAAATCCCTAAGCCCTAGAAGGTCGGCAACGCACTCGTAACTCCTCCGTTGCAGGTAATCCGCCATCTGGTTTGCGACTATTACCTAAAAAAAAATATACCAAAAAAGGCACTACAGAAAGGACGTTCCGTGTAACGATTGGCTAGTTTAATTATAGGAGCTTTATTTGTAATGTGTTATGTTTATTTTACAACTTGGTGTAAACTGAAAAGCAAAGGTTACAGTTACAAAGTAATTTGCGGTCACCAACTCGGTTTCCTTTGTTTTAAACGATCGCTTGTTTGACATTGTGCAGGATAATTATACTACCTATATACATACGTGAGGGTACAACATTAAATCACGTTCTTAAAACGGGGTACCTACGCACCAAGACGAGATCTTTCACTTGTGTTTATTGTTATTAAAATAGATACTTTATGGTATCCCGAGAAATTTAGTTGTTTTGCAGCTCTTTATGGAATACCATGAAAGTCAAACATATACATATTAGCGGTAATTGAGGTATGTATTTATGTCGCGGGTTAATTAACCATTCAATTAACGGTTTGAATATTTTGCCATTTGGTTTCATTTCAGAAATTATCATCCAGACCGTTAGTTTAAGGGTGAAAGGAAATTGACTAAAATCGAGCTGTTACCAGAATAGTAGGTTAGGGTTTGGTTAGGTTTCGGCAAGCAAGGGTAGCTCAGCATCACCACAGATTGAGCCCAACAAGGTACCGCGAGGATCAAGCACATTAAGGTTCTGCGGCCACGGCCTGTAGCAGAATGAGGAACGAAGAGGCTGCTTACTTATTAAGAGTCTTACCCTTGCCATACCCACGGCGAAAGAAGACATTTGGCGATTTTCAAAATTAAAGAATTTTAAGTCCTGAAGTAGGAGAGAGAACGGGGTTGTTTTTTGGTCAGCTTACTGACTCTTAAGTTAGACATCCTCTCTCGCCCCACCCAAAACCAGAGAAGGCGGCGATTAATGGATGACTTTCTGCACTCAAAAAAAAGGTTAGGTTAACGATTACTATTGTGACCCGTACAGAAATCGAACCATTCACCACAATTAGAAATAAAAGCATCCACAAATGTTTTGTGTGAACAGACCATATATAGGCCATGAATTGCATGATTAACCCAGTTGTTATATAATTATGCTAAATAAAACCACCAACATAAATCTCTAATTTGGAGGACTTTACAACATCGAGTTTTTGCAATTTGAGTCGCTAATTGCAGGGTAATTTGATGGTTAACCAAGTATAATTGTGGAACCACATACATTTACCGAACCTTTATGCTTTGCGGAAGCAAGCGCCATAATGTACCGTGGCCCCGGCTCTGAGCAAGAGAAGGAACGAGATGTTTTTTAGTCAGTAAGAGTCTGACACTCCCTCTCGCCCCACTTGAGACGGGAGAAGTTATTTGATGATAATCTTCCCTTTAAAATATAACTTTATTTCATCATTCTTTCGGTATTCAGCTGTAAATTATTAAATAAATATTTCGTGGGTGATATCAAGGTTTCGGTGGATACTTAATAACTTCAAGTATCCACCTAAACCTTGATATCAGTAGCTTATACAATCATTGAATGATTACCGTTTTTCGTTCACCAAATGACTTGACCTCAGATTACTTTGTCCAACAGAAAACTTGACCAAGGCATAAGCCATTTATTTTGAAGTCATTTAAATAAAATTAAAGTGGATAATTTATTGTGAACTCCGAATATTATTCTTCAGTCGTCGCATATACCAATAGTCTCTTTTGATGAACTTATGACTGATAAAAATATTGAGTTGCCACAATGACTTCAAAACCATTCCATGGAGTCGGATACAAGAAAGTGGTAATGGATATAAATGACCTTCCTGACGCTGAAGCCATTCTTTTAATTATTTAAATCTAAGCTATTAGATCATCTATTAGTTATTCACTTAACAATAATACCATAGACAACTATGCCATCCTTATTTTCTTCACCACTAATGGCAAACAACAATAAATATTATGTATCTGTATCTAAATATCAATTCGACATCAAAATATGGACGAAAATTTTTTACATCTTACGTGATATTCAAATAAAAGTAAATAGTTTACAGAGATAGTTCGTACGCACAAATTTGAAAGCATGATCGATTCGAACGAGTCAAATATACATATGTCTGTTCTACAGGTACAAAGCTAAATCTGGCAGGTACAAAGCTAAATCTGGAATAAAGTGGAAATTCAGTTGAGAGGAGAAACATACCTTTCGTTTGGAATGTTGTATACGTGAGTCTCTGGCATCCTGCGCCTCTCCAGGCGGTCGTCCGCCCCACACGGTGTGTGCAATCCGAGTATACGTGCACACTAGCGCACTCAGCGGCAGCACGAACTGCAGCACCAAGAGTGCGTACGTATACTGACGACTCTGCTCTGTGCTCGACCATAGCTCACCACAAATGTCACTTTTAAACATACCATAAAATATTCATTAGACAGCATTTTATATTAAGAGAAAATACTTCATCAAAAAATACAACTTTCTACTATGAAAGCATCTTACGGAAGTTTATGTTATTACAAGTGAATAATGTTAATTAAACGTATAGATTTTTTTTGCAATATAAATACTCTTACACTTCACAAGTCTGATGCCAAAGCGACGGCCTCTGAAGCTTGGACACTATAGGTATTGGAGCCGCCGTGACCAGCGCCCCGCTCCACACACCAAACACCACCAGTTTGGCGGCTGTCTTGCTAAGCCGTGGCTTCAACGGGTGCATGATAATTATATAGCGATCGATTGAGATCGCCAGCATTGTGTAAGCACTAACGAGCACTGACACAGCTTGAGAAAAATTCACAGCTTTACACATAAACGCTCCGAAAGGCCAATATCGAAGCAACAATGTCGGTACAAAAGAAAATGGCACACAAAACAGTGTCATTAGTATGTCACCTACTGCTAAATTCACTATAAAATAGTTCGTTACGGTCTTCATGCGCGCTGTGGTCTGCACTACCGTACACACTAATCCATTACCCACAAGCGCAGTAACAAACACCGCAATGTACATCACATACACAAATACTTTGAAAATACTAGTGGTAAGGTCGTCGTCGCCATGCAAGACACAAACAAAATCGTCCACATTGCTAAAGTTGTAACTGTAGTACGAGTCGTTGTGGCAGTTAATGCACGAATAGTTGTATCCCAATCCATTCTCACTGTCGTAGAACATTTTCTACCGGTCACATGCTCATTAGATTGGCTTCATTGTTATCTGAAACAAAAATGTGTGCTGTAGTTCTGGGTACGATAAAATGTATTTATTTCCACATATATTACTTTGCCATTACAGGTAACTTATCCTAATTCGACACAGTAACTTAAAATATGTTTCCTAAACAAAATGTGCTTAACAATACTATATTCTTTTTAGGGACAATCATCAAAATCAAATGCCTGTCCTCACCCTGAGTGAGGCAAGAGGAACTGACAGACTATTACAAACTAAAAACTTCCCCATATTTCCTCCTGCTCCGCAATGAAGCCATGTCCAATCCTTCCCCTCCCCAATCCCTCCTCAATTCCTAAATCTCCAAATTCCTAATCCCTAAAAGGTCGGCAACGCACTCGTAACTCCTCCGTTGCGAGTGTCCATGGGCGGCGCTGATAGCTTACCATCAGGTAATCCGTCTGCTCGTTTGCCGACCAATAACATAAAAAAATGAGGATAAGGGACAGGGGTGTGTTTTTAGTCTGTCACTTCCTCTTGGCCTAGCCTGGGCGGGAGAAGTAAAACCTCCTCCTGCTCTAGTCCCCCGGTCGAGGTACATTATTACGCTTGAACCTCAGCTCCAGCTGAACATCAGCCCTTTCGGGTCCTATCCAACAGCAACGAACCACTGCACGTGGTCCGTTGAAGTCGAGAAAATTTTTTCAACATTTGATTTTTAAAATCCGATTTGCGCGTTCACTTGTTTGCAATCCACGATTGCACTGAACAAAATTTTGATTGAAACAAGGTTCTGAAAATAAGTCGCCGGCCGCACTAGGGTAAAACCGCGGCAGTTTTTAACAGTTGACGCAAAAACAAATGAACAATACAGTATATTTGTTACATAAAACAAATGTAAAAATTAAGAACGTAAATTAAGAAACGGTACAAAAATTAAGAAATCAAATACCATTTATTTTCAAGAGACTCAATGACAACGATATCGGATGTATACGTATTCCTTACGTTCTTAGTTTGTTTAGAGATCACTGATAAATGGCAAAGGAAAACGAAAAGAAATACTTATAATATAATTACAGGTAAGTAACTAAATATGTTTGTCCTTGAGATATTTTTATCGTTATTAATTGTTATGAATTATTTTTGACCTCCTTAGTGTACTAAGAAGTAAGTATAGTCAACTATTTGTACTATAGTTCTAAAAAGTTGCAACACGCATTGACTTGATGTTAAGACTAATTATTTCTTAACAATGGTTAAACACTTCAAAATAACACTTTTAATTCGACAACAAATGCGTCCGGTACTTCCACAAAATCGATTAAAATAAATGATTGATTTGATTCGATTATAAATTGTCGATTTAGTTCATAACTCGAATCCCTTCACAGCTGGTGTACCCTATTAAAACTTATACTGTTATAAATTATGAATAACTAGTACATATGTATGTGCATACATTTAATGAAATGCAAATGTTATTTAGATAAATCACTTTAAAACAGTTCACTGAGTTCGTTTCAAATTTTGATTTATTTTAACACGATCAACGAAAATTAAATACAACCCATACATGAATAAGTTTCAATTTAGAAAATTTATCCGAAGTTTAACAGACAATGATACAAAATTTTATTCTTATTTAGTAACATTAGCGGACTAAATGTCATGGGCAATCTCACCAGTCAACCTTTGGGTGATGTAGAAAAAGTGGGGTACTCATTCAACTTGAAATAGAGAGAAAAACTAGCTTAAAAATATTGTTATAAGTACCTACTATTGTTATTGGACAGATTGTCACAAGAAATTGTTCACTCACTTCACTGTTCGTCGAATAAATGTGATTCTAGGTCCCTGCTATGTTTGAAAAATAGTTGAGAGTCATCTTCAAAAATCTTAATATCACGACCAACTTGCACTGATAGTGGTTTCTTGCAGACTGTGAGATTGCCATTTTCCTGTATTTAGAAACCTGTTTTTGTTATTAAATTGTTTGACCGAAATGTCTGAGGTCAGCTATTTAAGTAAATCAAATCCGAAAGTTATTTCTGATATGGGTGCATCGAACTTATGACGGTTATAAATTACCTATATTGTATATAACAAAGTCGCTTTCACTGTCTCTATATCACAATGTATGCTTAAATCTTTAAAACTACGCAGTAGTAGTTAGTAGTCGCCGCGTCCGCGCACGCTGCTCATGAGGAAGAACCCCTCTGTGTTTCGAAACTAGAAGAGCTTTTCTCAATTACACACGTGAATAACCCGCGATTTTTAGTTAATTTAGTATGTCTCCCGATAGTTATTAAAAAAGAATTAATCTCTCATGAGTGTCTAGTTCCGGCATTTAGAGTTCGATCATCGGCATAATATTGGTTGGTTAGGTATATGGAAATTTACCAATTATTGGCATTTTTTGCAACAGGAAAAATATCTAGGTTTAATTATATCTAGTTAAAAAAAACTAGGGCGGTAAAGTAGTTTTTTTTTTGTGTAATAAGTCGGCAAACGAGCAGACGGATAACCTGATGGTAAGCAATCAACGCCGCCCATGGACACCCGCAACGGAGGAGTTACGAGTGCGTTGCCGACCTTTTAGGGATTAGGGGATTAGGGATTTGGAGATTTAGGGATTGGGGAAGGGGAAGGATTGCACTCACACGGCGAAACACAACGCTGTGGTTGTTTCACGCCGGTTTTCTGTGAGGCCGTGGTGTCACTCCGGTTGAGCCGACCCATTCGTGCCGAAGCATAGCTCTCCCACACTTCTATGTATTACCTGATGGTAAGCAATCGGCGCCGCCCATGGATACCCGCAACACCAGAGCAGTTAGGAGTGCATTGTCGACATTTTTTGGATTAGGGTTTCAGAGGTTTCAGGATAACGAAACACAACGATCTGTTTGTATCACGCCGGTTTTCTGTACAGCCGTGGTGTAACTCCCGTTAAGCCGGCTAATTCGTGCCGAAGCCAGGGTCCCTACACTAACTAAAGTCTAGGTATAAGAATACAAATCATATTTCTGTGTGCCAACCAATAATTATTTTACTTTGTATGTAAATTGAATCCAATAAGTTTTATTTTAGAACTTAACCTAATATTTTTGCTAAAGGCTCTTGGTCCTTTCTCTCTTAAACTTTGAGGTTGAGTTAGGCATGTATTTAGTATTTCATATAAATTCAATCACGGTTTTACGTGTACCTACGTTTTATAAAATCTAAAACGAAAATTCTTGTAAGTTACTCGTGTGAGCCGACTTCAATACCAATTTGATCCTTTCGATCGCCGGCCAATTTATTTATAACCATGTTGAGTATTTATGTTTTGCAACGAGTCTCGCGCCCGGCTTTGGTACAGGCCTATGTTTGAAATAAGAACAGTGAACAGCAAAATTACTTTTTGTCATATAAGATAAAACGTTAAGTGATAAAGAATCGTATTTGTTTCTTCTATTTTCTTTCCTCTCTTATATTTGTTCTAGGACACTGTTCCTTGCTTCGATGGTCCAACCACATGATTTCTCTGCTGTTAGAGAATGGTTTAAGGCATTAAGTCCACCAATCAAACTGTTTTGTGTGAAGCAAAAATAAGTAAATAAATATGTAGGTACACTGTCTGAATGTAAAACAAAATCTAGGCAACACATAAATTATGTAATTACTAAGTAACTTAGTTAAATCAGGTCTGTCGCCATTTCGAAATACCAAACATAAAGTTTTCCTGACAAGCACATACGGATATGAAAGTACTTAGTCACCGTACTAAGACTTATAAACCAAGCATAACATCTCGTCCCAGTTGCGTCCAACTAATAAGATAACACTAACTCAAATCTGATTAAAACTTCAGTTCTTGTACCTAACGAGGAAACTGTGCTGTTCACTGTTCAGCGCCGTGCAAGGGATTATACAAACAATAAAATTCTTGTTCAAAAGTTATAAAATCCTTCGCTTTCAAAGATTGCAGAAGTGCATCCCGAGTAACAGTTGAAGATAATTACACATAGGTAGTGAAAAGACAAAGAAGACGTAAGGCAATTATTGTACTATTATAACTATGTTCTGCTACTGGCTTCGCTTGGAGTACCAGGAGGAAAATTCGCTTAGGTATGTGTTATTCCATATTATAAAATTATCCCTGCGTCAAATTTCATTCGGAATCGTTCAATAGTTTTTGCATGAAAGAGTAATAAATCCATTCATTTTCTGTGGCACATTTTAAAATATCATTTTTTTTTTATAATAGACTTCTATTACCAAACTTTTTTACCCAATTTTTTTAAAAATTACGAACTCTTTAGCCCTTGGCCGCGTGGCAAGACTTGAGTCAATAACGTAAGATGCAACGAAAAATCGGATACCATAACAACTAGACCGAGAATAATAAAGATACTCATGCCTTTGTAGAAAGTTTCAAACGATATTTCTCTTTCTAAACAAATTATTTAGTACCAGCAATACTATCGATAACTGGTAGTTAAGATGGTTTACGACGACGCAAGTTTTCATATAAAATTTCTAGTGCTATTGCCAAAATCATAAAAAGTACTCATCCGATTTTATGAAACATTGAGCTCAAATTTGCACTGTAAGAGAATGCATCACCTAAGAGGTGAAAATTACCAAATAAAAAAAATTCAACGGCACTTCAATGTCAACAAAAACAAATTGAAAAAGGCACCGTGTGTTAAAGGCAAATCCATAAAAGTCTACTCTTTTATAAATCCTCTCAGAAAACGAAAAGATTCTTTTTTATGAACAAACTCTTCAAATTTTCCTTTAGGAAAGTTTTCAATAAATATTTGACTTGCAACAGATGGCACCTCTGTCGAGTAAGGTTCCAAGGAATTTGTTTATTAATCATTTGACGTTGCAATAAAAACAACGGATACATATTTTGGGCTACAATAGCGTCTATAGAGAAGAAATATAAATTATTCTTAAAGTGTTTGGCAGGTTCAGAACTCCAGAAAACTTAAGATTTACTGCGAAATTTAAGA